TGACCTGTCTCAGTAATATACTACTCGAAAGAAGTTAAGAAGTAAGATTGTTTCATAGTTAATCTGCCGTGACTGGTGGGTGTTGCAAACCGCCTTCCAATTGTTCTTTAACTTGTTTTGAGTAGTATATTTCTGTGTACACGACTTTGCGGAAAGTGTCATCGTTGCCGGCTGTTCATGCTATCAATTACTCCTTTATCCAAACCAACCTCGATTATCCATACCGCTATGTATTGGCTGCAATATGCTGACTGCTGTGTAAATGAAGTCTGTCATATAATCGACTTATTATTGGGTTTACTGATTCTCGACCCAAAATATTGTGATAATGCAAATAAAAATTGTCATTCTTGTAAATATGTATTTATCACTGACTAGCCGAAAAAAAGCTTGGTATGAGAATTAAAAAGAAACATATTTAGATTTTGTAACGCAGTTACGAGACGAAGTAATCGCCCCAGCACTGATTTATCCGACAGTGAAGACAGCATTAAAGGGGAGGTAACTCCAGACACATCCGGGAATATTGACTTATGACAGAATGTTTTCTTTCGTGTTTTCCCTCAACCGAACCGAATGACATGGGGGAAATATCCGAAAACTAGGGAAAAGGGAGCCTATGTATTACACGCATTGTAATAATTGCCGTGTAGATGAAGTCGACCATATGATCGTTCACGGAGACACAAGACAGATCGCAGCTGAGAGAGACGGCCGTCCACACAGACGCTGGCCATAAGCAGGGACCATTGTGACCACCCGATATTCTGTCGATCGTTGTTTGTTTGTTTGTTGTTTAACGCCACACTCTGCAATATGACGGCGGTCTGTAAATAATCCAGTCGGGACCAGACAATCCAGTGATTGACATCATGAGCATCGATCCACGCAATTGGGACATGATGACATGCATCAACCATGTCAGTGAGCCTGACCATCTGATCCCGTTAGTCGCCTCTTACGACAAAAATTGTCCCCTTTTACGGCAGCATGGGTTGCTGAAGACCTATTCTACCCCGGTTTTTCACAGATTCTGTCGAACTTTGAAACTTTGAAAATATGCAGTATACAAGATGCCATGTTAGATTAAACCATTAAACGTCTTGTAAAGTTTCTCCATGACGTAAAGTGATTGGTAAAGCTTTTGACCAGGAGGCAACTAAATTGTAAGTTTGACAGCGTGGAACTATTATATTCTGTAGATGATAAAGAATTTTGATGAAAAACGTTTTTTCCAGTCGTGTTCGACAATCAGAAGTCTACAAATGAGGGTATTGATATTGCCATGGACGATATAGTGTTAAAATATACATTAGACCATAACATGGTTGATAAGCGTTCAGTTCAATGCTTGGAGACAATTAATTGAACCACAGTAGGTTTATTTCACTTTACATCTAGATTAATATTTAATTCATTTAGGAGATAAACCTACTTTTTAAAATTTAATGTAGTCCCACTGTGGGGTAGATATTTCTTATTTTCATTTGGAACTAAGCGCTTGAGATATGTAATCGTGTCAAAACTTTGGTTGATTCACGGCTAAAGAAACTGATCGACGAAAATACACCTTTCTTTATCACGAAAACAGCAGCTGAGTAGTCCCATCAACATGAGCATATATGATAGCTATAGTGATAGCTACAGATATATATGATAGCTACAGTGAACAGTGAAGAACGAAGAGTGCTTTATTTCACGATAAAACATTGTTCTATCATAGCGTCCTTTCTGGGGATTCGAACACGCGCTCGCAACTCCATGCCGTCGTATATTGATTAGACGACGTTATTTTTGAGAGGGGGGTGTCTAGTGAGTTGTTCCCCATAGATGAAGCTGGGCATAGGATAGGGCTTCAACGGGTCCAAGAATATAAACTCGAGTACCCGAGGGGTAAGACTCTGCTTCTGCACGAGTACCCGCAATTATACATCTACTCAATAAAATTGGCAATTATCCTGTCGTATACAAAATGAAAGAATCACAATGACATCGTAGACCACTAAGAAAACCAATGTGATCGCGTATCAAATAAAATACCTTTGACATTTGTATGCTGATTCGCTGAAGCTTCATTGAAATAAGAATTGTCAACTTGGGAAAAGAAATCCTTTACATCTCAATGTAACACGCGCCATGTTCGTAGGGGGGGGGGGGGGGGAATATTGCACACGTGATCGTCACATGATGTATGTTGCGATTGGTGATTGGCTGGATTTGGGCGGGCTGGCTTCTTGGGTATACCTTAAGATCATTTGATGCCAGCGCCGAAGGAAATTGTCAATAAATGACAAAATATAGATAATAAGTTAAAAGTAACGTTTTCAATGTTATCACAAATTCACAAGTCAGTATTTACCTTTTTTTTCTTAATTGATAACATAACATAGAAAGATTACTAGGCTTGTAAATTAATGGTTGACTTCTTCAAGACGTTTTCCCGACAATTGAAGAGATAATTAGAATTAGATACAGTAACACAATGTGTTATTATTCAATAATGTGATGTCCAGTTATAAATATCTTATGAAAATATTGAATTGATAATGATTAACGTTGCGACGCTAATTTAGAATGAATAGGTCTACAGCTTGCGACAGTTTAATAGTTTCGTAAAACACCCCTTTTAAACAAGAAATAAAGTACTTTTTTTAAACCAGGAAATATCCTTAATAAATGGTTGTAAATATGTGCATTGTTTCGAAAAATGACGAAAAGAAAAGCTATTGACAATTTCATTTGATTTAATTGATTACTCATGTACGTTTCAATTAACGTATTGAAAGTCGATCAAATTAGAGTTATCTCCCTTTGTCGAGTACCCGAGTCCTTCAAACTGGCGTCATTCCCACTAAACTCGGCCCGTGCCCAAGTACTCTTTGAAGCCCTACTGCGCAACGCAGATAAACGCGATGGCGAATGCCTTCAAAACTGGGAGATATATGACATGAGATATAATGTGTTTGTTGTTAACGCCGCACTCAGCAGTATTCCAGCTATATGACGGCGGTCTGTAAATAATCGAGTCTGCACCAAACAATCCAGTTCATGAGCATCGTACCGCGCAATCGGGATACGGTGACATGCATCAACCAAGTCAGCAAGCCTGACCATCCGATCACTATAGTCGCTTCTCACGACAAGCATAGTCACCTTTTACGCCAAGCATGGGTTGCTGAAGACCTTTTCTACCCCGGATCTTCACGGGTCGACATCATGTCGAGCAGTAATAGTGAAGCAGTACATGGCTACACTTTCCCAGCTACAAAATATATTTACTTAGGTCGGTGATCAATACAGTTGGTCCACTATGTATACTTGCCCCGGGAGATACCTTCGCGAGCATGGTCGCCACAGAGCGAGGGACACACGTGGCCACACTTCAGCATGAATGATATGTTATAATACACAATGCCATGGAAGGCACAATCTTCAACGGACCTTCGGTAACATGAATATTTTTCACAAGCCGACATTTCCGAGAAAGAATACTTCAAATATGCCGGTTTCCGTATATTTTAGGGGCGCTTCAATTATTATCTATTTTTTTACGTCTGTGGTAGATTTCGAATGGTCATAATTTCACTTTAAATAAATCGGGTCTAATTAAATAAATTTCACTTTTCCAAAATAGGGTTTTAACATTGCGTGCATGTGTGTGTCCGGACTAATACTGGTTTATAAGTGCTAGCCCTGAGCTTCCATGCTGTAGTTTCACATGGATACCCCACTCAAATACAGTACAGGGACTCCGAGCTGACCAGTCGTTATTTTATTTCCTAATGACCTGCGCCAGGCAATGTTACAACAGCTACCATCCTATAACGTCTTTTGGTATGACGCGGCCAGGGGATCGAAGCATCGACCTTCCGTCTCCGGCCAGACGATCCAGACACCATAAAGGCAGTTGAACAATGCAATACGTATATATATATATATGGAACATATAAAGACAAAACAGTATAGACCCGTGAAGATCCGGGGTAGAATAGGTCTTCAGTAACCCATGCTTGCTGTAGAAAGGCGACTATACATGTCGTAAGAGGCGACTTACGGGATCGAGTGGTCAGGCTTGCTGACTTGGTTGATGCATGTCATCGTATCCCAGTGGCGTGGATCGTTGCTCAAGATGTTAATCACTGGATTGTCTGACTCCGACTCGATTTTTTTACAGACCGGTGTTTTACGGCGTTAAACAACAAACAAACATAACAGTATATCAAAAACATCGTTCTAGAAAATGAACATTATCAAAACCTAGCTTATACAGTGAGTCTAGGCAATCCCATTTGAAATGATCACATGACGTGTTCTTGCCACATCTTGTCCACCACTGACGTAACAGTTCACATGAATTTCCAATCTCCTCTTGCCTTAACCGTAACAGTTCATCGCCCTCACTTCGACCTGTTAAACAGTAACTGGATTACCAACCGTTTATGAATCTTACATAAGATCCCAACAAGCCTACAATTACTGGACAAGCACGGGGAGAATATCTCATTACCTCTTACAAACTTCCATGGAGGCATGTTCTTAATGGTACTGCATATGGAGATAAAGCGTGAGTGACTTGTTTCACCCAGGAGTCTGTGTTGTTCATGCTACCGGGGTCAGGCCACACGGCCTGACAATATCTGTTTTAGTGGTTCTTTCCTTGACAGGTATTGGACTCCAGGGACCTCTTCTGTCACAGAAACACCAAAGGGAGACAATCATGGAGTACCTGAGGCCAGGTATCCCTTAAAATCTTCAAAGGGAGACAAGTAAAGGCACTAGGGACCTATTCTTCCCCTAAAATCCCCACATTAATACAAGCATGGCAGACTAGGAACCTATTCTGTCCACATCTCAAAGGTGGAGGAGATAAGCACGGGGCACCAGGGATCCATTCTACTTGGAGACAAGCATGAGGCACCTGATCTTCAGTCTGATCCAACAGCCTTTCCTTCTTGTGTATGTATGTCAAGAAAAGAAAGAGAAAACAAAACCAGCACAAGACAAATTTATCATTTATTCGTACAATCACAAAAGTCAATTGTTTCATGATTTATGGCAAAAATAATTAGAAAAACAATTTATTTATTAGATGAAAAGGAAAACTGATAATAAAGCATGGAATACTACATAGCCTGCAGAGCTCTCTGTAATCATCACACACCAAACAGCATGTCGTGTAAAAAACTTACAATTTTCACATAATGAATCATATACAAGGCATACATTTGTTTCACAGTCAGTACAAATCACAAACTTGAATTTTACTTTGAGTCTCATACTGATGGTCATAGGTCAAGCAACTATCCATGATTTAATGACTGCAGAGAGAATGGTAGAACTTTAAAGTGCTGGTCACATATCACTGATATTGTTAAATTAGAGAGACAGTTCCATTGATATCAACATCTGTGGCTTTAGTTCGCAATGCCATCAATTGGACATTTATAGTATGTATAGTTGTAACATGCTTCTATCATACACTGACCAAGGAGAATCCAAGGTTGCACAAGCTTTGACCAACAGTAGATGTTTCATTAATAACAACACCCCCGGTTATCCACACTGAATTCAACATTACACCAGAGATTTATCTACAATTCAAAACTAAGTGTCCCTGGCATGCAATTCGGGAAAAAATCATCATTTTATTCAAAATTGGGATTACTTCAATCCTTTTAACATTGTATGATAAGATTGCATGCAATTTAACAATATAAAACCAAGCATTGAAACCTCTTCCTATTTATTGATCCTATTATCAGTGAAATGCAGGTTACCTCTCCAAACCCATACACTTAGTTATGAGTTATAACATAATTGGAAAAATATAAATTCCAAATTGGGAATTTTTAATGACATTTGCCATGGACTTGGGGCAAAATATATCGGCCCCCGCACAGGTCCATATAAATCCCTGTACACGGAGAGGGTCGAGATCAAATCAAACTGAAGAATGGAACTGTTTCAGGATAACGTCATGTAAAACATATTTTCTCTTTGAAATTGACATTAGTATTAAGCTGAATATTTTGTGAAGTTAGGTCTAGCATTGCTTTTGAACAGTATTACAGGTGAATCATGAGGTGTGAGAAAGTGAGTCGGGTATTACACCACTTTGAATAGTGTTCCAATGATATCACGGTGTGTCAGCATAATGTGGTAGGACAGCCTGAAGTGAAACAGAACTCAAGACGTGCTGACAAACCAAGTATCTCAGTTCAATCTGAGATCCAAACCTACAACTAACTGATCCTGACACAGCAAAGGAACACACTCTTACACTAATGACAGACTATTGCGGAACCTTGACTAGTGTGAATGCCAATGACCTACCTATGTTGGTCTAAAATCTCTTTAACCAGTAACAGATTTCAGTATATATCCTATCAAAGCAGATAACTTTGCTTAGTTTAAGTTTATTCAAAAATCATGTCCTGTTATCTGATTCAGTTTTTCCTCAATGTATACCATTGTATACAGGATGTGGTGGTATTGAACCTGTGATGCCATCAGGGGCGAGAGCCCTGTCATAGTCACTAGGCAACTGGAACACCTCTCAAGTAGGATTTCTAAAGCTATATTTGAAATTAAACCGGTATTCAGTAAAAGCAAATAAAAATAAGTTCCTATTTGTGATTTATCTAGACTGGTAACTTCAAAGCAGCAGTCAGCCAGCAGTCAAGCAGCATTTCATTCAGAAAGTATATAATATTTACACTCCTATCATCTGACTGTTTACAATACCACACATCATAGCACAGGGATAAGGCATATATATGCATATTATATACAAATATCCTGCAATAACATCATACATTAAGGCAATGGAAAAGATGAACATGTGAATGTTGGTTTTATTAATTTTGTTATCTTGTTGATAAGAACATGACTAATAAACAGTATATACATGACATTATTGCTAAATTGTGAGGTCTCTTCTCACTATGTTAACAGGACCAGAAAGTTTTCCTCAAGTACAAAATAATGTATCATGATAGGATTAGTCTAATATATCACCATGCCGCGATTCACAAAGCATGACATATTTCATTGGGGAGTACACCAATAACTATGGACATCTTGGCCAGACCAACGTTTGCCTTGTATCATCCTCGATTATCCAGGGTATTATATTCTGTAATGACCAATATCCAGGACCCATAGCTCCGTTTTGAGTTCAATATGATTAACTAGATACTAAATATAGCCATCAAATTACACTCATGAGCGAGAGAAATGTGGGAAATTTTCTATGAGTGAAGTCACTTTCAAGCAAGTGGGCCCCAAGGTACTTATCATGAATGACTGGCGACATAACTGGGTTCCTGAGGGTCTTGTATCAGTCACATTTCAAAATTCGCAAATCTTATGTTTACATGGAATGTTCTTTCATGAAGATAACAAACAGTTTCTCTTCCCAAAAACTGGCATAGAAAACTCCACAACATGAGTGAGTTTCAAGTTGTTCAGAGCAACATCCAAGCCCTATCTCAACACTGAGCACACATAGTGGGCTTTACATATAATACCCATGAATTGAAGACAGGTCTGCAGTTTTAGACTCAACATTTCGCCACTTCACCACCCTGCTGCAAAACATTGGTCCGGCCCCAGGCTAAACAAGACGAGCAAGGTTTGAGAGACAAATCCTTGGCAGACACCCCTACTTGATTATAACACTAGTGAATCCTGTGAACACTGGGTGGCCCATCACAGAGTTACACGTATCTCCCTTCGCCTGTGGTCCAGGATAATATAATATAATATATACACACATTCAGGGAATTACAGCTGATGATCAATGACATGGTGCGAAACAGGTTACATGGAGTTAAAATTATACAGAGGGAAAATATATAAAATTTCACACAACTTCATATTTAGAAGTCCGGTTCATTGGTATTTTCGACAAAGCAAATCTGCTTAATTTCTGTTAAGTTGATAAATATGAAACAACAAATGTTAAAATGTTTCTCGCCTTAATAGTTCCAGAAGCAGAATGATCAAGAATTCCACCTGCAGTAGCAGGATGGTTGGAAGTGAAGCAACAAGACATGCAGTCGACACGGCTCACAGCAAACAATACTACCATGATTACTGTAATTGTTAAAATCAGTTGTGTTCACTAATTAGAAAAATGATTTTCCGTCATAACAATTCATTAACATTAACATGATAAAACACATGTCAAATTCTCTAAATGTATGCAATCAATCTGTGTTAATGGGATGCTAAAAGGCACTTAAACCACACATCATATTGCCACAGTGAACTTCATCACCAGGAACAACTTACAAGATAAAATTCATATGTCTTACCAAAATAAATAAAAGTGAAGTTCCATTCTTCTTAATATGCCCTTGAAATTCAAAGATACACAAGACTCAACAAAGAGAATCATGACATGACTGGAATTGCTTAAGACAACCTACACAAGGATACAATACACATGGAATTGGTATAGATATAAAACCTGTGCCCACCAAACAGACACATCTTGCTCCGGGGAGTTATCTCCCTTTGACCACACCACCACCCCCACGCATCCATCACCATTCAGTGACTAACATGTAATGCTGCATCACTCATGCCACATGGGCAACATATTCATAATCCAAGCTGAAGATTTCTTAAATGCAACAGGTCATGTGAGTAAGTTACTGGTGTTTTATTATAAATGGATGAATATAATGACTTGATGAGTCAGTGCGTAAATCCTGACGCCTCTTTCGCAGAATGTTCTCATAGAATGGTATCTACTTCTAATGTGTTTATCAACATGATATGTGACGTGAATGCAAATGCTTAAATGACACAAACCTCAGCTGACAAAACAACATGACACCTGTGCCATCTCACATACTGTCAGTAAAGGACCTCCCAGCTAACACTATCTGGATACAAACATTCAATAATATTGAGATAAAAACATAAAATCAAACTGCCATTTACAAATAAAGTGCCCTCAAATCTGTGATACATAACAGAAATATATGTAAAGAAATAGGAAATGATAAAATATCAAAACAAAAAACAGCTTAGGTCATCTGGAATTATTTCAATGTTAGCAGAAGTGTTCATAGATATTCGTAAAGACAATAACCACAAACTGCCATTCACAATTGTCCCAATGAAGTCAGGGTTGTAGCAACATAGAACTGTTTACCGTCAACCAAACCCACCTCCAGAACAGCATACTACTAAAACACATTCACTCTAACATGGGGTTGAAGTTCAGAATCTATGACTTTGATAAAGTTTCAGGTCAGCTCTCTTTGACATCAGCACATCACATATACAGAGTACAAATGTATAAGATGCATGTATGTGGGTATATTCAATCTGGCATACCTGGATGTGTAGCAGACTTCAGTGCTGATTTGAATGACTTTCAACAATGATGTTTTATAGAGATTCAAGGAGAGAATTATGCTTGGGCATCTAATCCTATCTATGACATCTCCATGGTTACTGGCAACTCCTTCACTCATCCTCCTCCCCACAAATAGATCTTGGTGTTGCTGTAAGGATACGCACCCCCTTCATATCATCCTTCCGTCCAGTTTGAGTTCCGAAGGTCTGAGTTTCAACAGAGTCTTTTGATGGTGTTGCAGTCTGAGTTTCACTTTCAGTGGATATCCGCCGCAATGCCAGGTTTTTAGCAAAATGACTTTTCACGGCTTCGTTCTTTGCAGCCTGGTTGACTTTAGCTTTTCCTTTAACAATTCCACCTTTCTTCAGCTTTGGTTTTGTGGGGGTCTCTGCAACTTGCTCCTCAGCCTCTGCAGCGTTGCCAGCATCAGCTTCCACATCCATAGGCTCGACACCATTCTCAGTCTCTACAGCCACTTGTTTAGGAGGTCTTCCTCTCACCCCCTTCTTCTGAGGCACTTCGGTCTTCCCACTGTCATCATTCTGCTTCCTCTTCTTGGAATCTTTACCAATTTTAACCTCAAGCTTCTTACCGGCAGGTTTCTTTGTTGTTTTCAAACGAGATGAAGCTCGACCTTTATCATTAGCCTTTTCCACTTCAACAGGCTTAGCTTTCTTCCCTTTCTTCACTGGACTTGGTGTCACCTCCTCCTCTTCTTCTTCTTCTTCTTCCTCCTCTTCCTCAACTCCCGTAGCCTTGACTATTGTCATTTTCTCCATCTCTCCTCCTTCAGCAGCTACAACAACCACAGCTCCGTTCTGAGAGTCTTCCAGCAGAGACGTGTCCACCCCCTCCAACTCCTCCAGATTATGCTTGGTGTAATGCTTCTTGAGGTGGTGGGATTGGGAAAAGGCCATTTCACAGATAACACACACAAATGGCTTCTCCCCAGAATGAACACGCTCATGTCGGACTAAATCTGCCTTCTTCACAAACTCCTTCTTACACACACTGCATGTGAACATCTTGTCCCCTGTGTGGATGCGGATGTGGGCCTTCAGGTTCTGCACGCTGGAGAAACTCTTCCCGCAGACTTGACAGTCAAATGGCTTGTCATCTGAATGAAACGTGAGATGCTTCACCAAGTTCTGCTTCTTACTGAAACTCTTCCCGCACTCGTCACATGAGAACTCCTTGGTGTTTGAATGTTTCTTGATGTGGGTCTTCAAGTGCTGTAGCCTCATGAAGCCTCGGTCACACTGGCTGCAGTTGTAGGGCATAGTCTCGCCATGAGTCTTCACATGCTCCAACAGCTCCTCATGCAGGGTAAAGACCATGTCACACGTCTCACACTTCAACACATGGGTTCTCACGTGTCTCAGCATGTTAGCCGACTGGGCGAACCCTCTGCCACACAGCTGACACTTGTGGGGTTTGTCGCCAGTGTGGGTACGCTCGTGTCTCTTCACATCGAACGACTTGGCAAATGCTTTGTCACAGTGGCTGCATTTGTAGGGCTTTTCTCCAGTGTGTACTCTCATGTGTCGCTTGACATCAGTGGAATTGGGGAAGCAGCGATCACAAAGTGGACAAGCATACGGCTTCTCTCCTGTGTGTCCTCGTGTGTGGTTGATGACACTGTTAAGTTGGGAAAATGTTTTTCCACAGAGCGTACATTTATATGGACGCTCACCAGTGTGGATTCTACGATGGATGATAAGATTTTGGGATTGTGTAAAGCCCTTGCCACATGTCTCACATTTATAAGGCCTCTCACCAGTGTGCACACGTCTATGTTTAACCAGTCCTTGAAACTTAATAAAGCCTTTGTCACAGTATTCACATTTGTAGACCTTGATTTTCCCAGAAGGAATTGATGAATCACGCTTCTTTCCTTTTGACACTTTGATAGGATGGTCAGAACCTCCCTTGTTCATTTCTTCAAAGAGATAAGGATCCTTTGATACTGGTTCATCTTTATTCTCAGACACTTCAACATTTTTCTTTGATACTTGTTCTTTAGGTTTTTCACGTACCTTTGACACTTGTTCTTTAGCTTTCTCACGTACCTGAATACTTTTCAGTTGCAGAGCAGTCCTTGGTTGTATGCCACCCGCCTCCACCTTGGCAACTTGTTTTTTCCCAGCAGATTTTGTTACCATTGGTTCCAACACTGGGGGACCTTCTTCATCATCTTCCTCATCATCATCATCTAACGCATCACCTTCATTAACTTGAACAGTATAATCTAAATCCAAATCATTATCTGGTTCTTCTTCCTCCACATCTTCCACATCTTCCTCCACTTCTTCATTTTCTTTAGAAGTATCAATTACTACCAAAGCAACATCAGACTTGGAAACAGGTTTACGCCCCCTTTTCTTTGGAGCAGATTTGGGTTTTGGAGCAGGCTTAGATTTGGCAGCAGATAGCTTAGCTTGTGTTGGCTTTGCAGTTGACTGCTTAGCTACAGCAGACTTGGCACCAGAAGCCTTGGCGCTACCCTTCGCTGTTGTTCCCTTGCCTTTAGCTGAGGCTGCTTTTGACTCTTTAGCATTTTTGTCTGCAACAACCTTTGACACTTTGGCGGCAGCAGCCTTGCCTTTCTTTACAATCTTTACAGGTGCAGATTTGGTTTGTTTTGCTGTCTTTCCTTTTGTAGTCCTTGCCTTTGTCACTTCCTCCTCTTCATCATCACCCCAAACAAATTTCTTCACTGGACTCTTGGTCTTCATTTTTCCTAACTTGGAAATAGTTTCCTCAATATCCCCTTTAGATGCCCTTGATGGCCTGCCTCTTTTCTTCACAGTCTTTTGTTTGTCAGCTAACACCTCATCATCAGACTTATCTTCGTCCTCCAGATCCATGTCTCCCTCTTGCATATCTTCTCCTTTCTCTCCTGCTTCCTCACCAGCTGCCTTCTCCTGATCTTCCTCTTCCTCCATTTCTTCACCAGTCTTTGCTTCCTCTTCCCCTTCTTTCTCTCCATCCTCTTCTCCAGCGGACTCTTTATCTTTATTTTCTTCTTCCGCTATCTCTTCTTCCGCTATCTCTTCTTCATATTCTTCTTCTTCAGGCTCCTCTTCGTCCTCCATATAAAATCCTTCCTCTGACCTCTTCCTAATAAGCTCCTCTAGTTCCCTGGACTGACCGAACTCTTCCTCTTCTTCACTCTCATTCATCTGACTGTTGTCTTCATCATGGACCTCCACCCTGATCTCAATCTCATTTTCATCCACGCAACCCTTTGGTGACCTCCGCGGCGACCGACCCCGAGGAGAGCCTCGAGCTGACCTTCGAGGCGACATCGATCCTTCTGCTCTTGGGGGAGTCTTTGAAGGTTCTTCTCCTTGAGGAATTGTCTTCTGTACATCTGCTTTCTGGGGCGCCTCCTCATTCTTGACACGTTCCACTTCCGCCTCCTTCGTTGACATTGTTACTTAACCTGGAAATTCAATGACAAATGTTTATTAGGCAAGTGAGTGAATGATGTTTTACACTGGACTTACAATACTGTTAGTGTCTTCACATGTTAATAGTGAGTGAGTGAGTTGGGTTTAATGCTGCTTTGAACAGTATTCCTCTCATATCACGGGATGTAAGATTAAGGAGGCAGGAAGGCCTAGAGCAATGCAGGACCTACACATATACCACTTTGGTGAAACCCACGAGAACGGATATGGTGCTGACAAACCTAGAAACTTAATTTGGGCGAAACAGGGATTCGAACCAACAATCATAGATTTCTGGCGTGCCAAAGCTACGCAACTCTGACAGCGAATTGCAGTGCCATAGATGACTGGGCCACCCCCATGTTAAAAACACAAATAGTAGTAAAATTACAACATAACATATATTACATGATTGACAATGTGATCAAATATAACATGAACTTATAGGGGCCCATGAGGATTCTTTCCATAAACTCCTAAATCATATACATCTTTAATATTTAACAAATAGGTATAACAAATTTTATTTTATTCTTCATTTCAAACAGTTATCAAGGTTATCTTTTAAGAAAGTCTATTGAATCATACAGAATTATAAGAATATTGAATTATTCTTAACCTCAATCATCATAATCATCCATATCCTAACCTAATCAATCAAGCTTCCCTCTCCATCAGGTACATAGACCAAACCAAGCACAATCTGATGACAAATGTTACAGTCATCATCTACAGAAATCTTTACCTTCAGGCAAACAGACAGGATCAATCTCTTCCTTGCCAGGCTATCTCCTGACTCCTATCCTCTACTGTCCACAGTTACTTGGAATCTGAAAGACAACAGGAACATGAACACAAAAAGAATATTTACCATGCTTACATTTAAAAACATACTGTAAATATATCATAGGCCTATCAAATGATGTATTTTGAAAGTTATCAAACCGTCATAAGGGGAGACAATAAATAATCAGATAGTTATCTCCCTTAGACCATGACTTTCACATCACAATGGCCATGATGACTATCCACGAAAGAATCTTATAGAATCGCTGAAATTAATTATTGGGGGTCCCCTGGATCCCCAGTTTTGTGAGTAAACTGCTGTGTTTATTAACTGTTTACATCAAATTGGTTTACCATCTTTACTGCAACATCGATGTTTCAATATCTATAACTGTGGTAGATTGCTATTTGTTAACAGTAATCTTATCTGAAGAAAACTAGACTTTGACACAGCTACCACACCGTTCTCATTATCATTCCTAGAAACTGAACCTAGGCAATGGCGGACTGCATTTAGCATGTGTTCAGGGAAGGCATTCATATAATTCAAGGGCAACAAGGGAACAGCTGTAATTATTATTGAACTTTCATTTGAACCTTGGGTAAATGTTGTGGTCAAATGATGAGTCGTTCCGTGAAGATCCGGGGTAGAATGGATCTTCAGCAACCCATGCTTGCAGTAAAAGGCAACTATGCTTGTCGTAAGAGGCGAGTAACAGAATCGGGGGTCAGGCTCGCTTACTTGGTTGATGCATGTCATCGATCCCAATTGTGTGGATCTATGCTCATGCTATCAATCACAGGATTGTCTGGTCCAGACTCGATTATTTACAGCTGAGTGCGGCGTTAGACAATAAACAAACAAACAAACGTTGAGTCTATGACTTCAATAACAGTCTGCCCTCATACAGCTGAGTGTGGCGTTAGACAATAAACAAACAAACAAACGTTGAGTCTATGACTTCAATAACAGGCTGCAGCTACAGCAAGCAGCCCAAGGCAGCCTCATCACTGTATCTATCCCTAGTCCAGTGTTAGAAATTGGCACTAGTCCTGTAGTCCTTGACAAATTGTCCAATAGTAAAGGTATCATAACGACTAGTAAATATTTGCCAATTTCTAAGGGTTTTGCTGTATGTTTTCATTATAAGGGCTAGTGGCCCCAAAATGTTTGTTTTAACCGCTGTAGTCTGTGTGATAGGGCCAAGGTCAGGTACCTTCATAATGGTCACCAGCTAATGATCACCATGAACAGATCTTTTACCATAACATGAAATTCAGGTGCAATTTGGACTATCAACAAATATCGTACAGCTGTTGTCCTTATGTCTAAATACCACAGTACAAAAGGAAAGCATTTCAAATTTCAGATATTGTCAGTTTTTCATCCATTTTCTCTGCAGTCTACCACTTTCAAAACCATTTGCTCATCCAAGTTAATGACATTTTCCCCCCATGACATCCACAAGAGTTCTAGAGACGTTGTGTCGAATAACTATTCCTTTCCAATCTACCGACACGGAAATGTTGGTAAGTACAGATGATAATAAAACAATATAACATTACACGGTAACTGTACAGGGCTGTCGTACAGTTACACACTAACCTACTATGTAATGCACAAATGATTCTGAATGGATGACAATTACATATGGCTTCAGGAAAAAACTTTTCAGTCACGAGTGGAATCTTTGGCATTTTCTTCTAGTTGAACTGATGAATTAAATGATCAGTGAATACACAAAATGAAATCGAATATTTAACCACAAATTTCGGTGCAGTTTCCTTATATCCATGAATCAAGATTATGCAAGTAAATATAACATGTTAAATCATAACTCTATCAAATAGAGCATCATGACAAAGTGCATCATATGTAATGTCACAGATCACAATCAGACTTCCCATGTGTAGTGTTGGAAATTAAGGGGATTCCAGGGATTTGCTCCTGTAGTATTTGAATCCTCCTTCAATCTCTAACATTTAACATCAGGGTTACCACTAGCAGTCCTTGACTCATGCTTAATTTCAAACACATGCATTAGAAACAAGGAGTCTGACAGGTTCTTGTAAAGTTATATAATTGTGTTGGTTTGTCGGTTTATTGTTTTACGCCGCACTCAGCAATATTCCAGCTGTATGATGGCTGTCTGTAAATAATCGAGTCTGGACCAGACAATCAAGTGATTGATATCATGAGCATCTATCCATGCAATTGGGATCAATAACATGCTTCAACCAAGTCAGCGAACCTGACCACCTGATCCCATTAGTCGCCTCTTACGACAAGCATTTATCTGTGTGTACTGACCACACAAAGTGACTAGCAGTGTGTATGTGTACTGACCACACGAAGTGACTAGAAGTGTGTATTTGTACTGACCACACAAAGTGACTAGAAGTGTGTATGTGTACTGACCACACCAAGTGACTAGAAGTGTGTATGTGTACTGACCACACAAAGTGACTAGAAGTGTGTATGTGTACTGACCACACGAAGTGACTAGAAGTGTGTATGTGTACTGACCACACAAAGTGACTAGAAGTGTGTATGTGTACTGACCACACCAAGTGAATAGCAGTGTGTATGTGTACTGACCACACCAAGTGACTAGAAGTGTGTATGTGTACTGACCACACAAAGTGACTAGAAGTGTGTATGTGTACTGACCACACGAAGTGACTAGAAGTGTGTATGTGTACTGACCACACAAAGTGACTAGAAGTGTGTATGTGTACTGACCACACGAAGTGACTAGAAGTGTATGTGTACTGACCACACGAAGTGACTAGCAGTGGGTATGTGTACTGACCACACGAAGTGACTAGAAGTGTGTATGTGTACTGACCACACAAAGTGACTAGAAGTGTGTATGTGTACTGACCACACCAAGTGAATAGCAGTGTGTATGTGTACTGACCACACCAAGTGACTAGAAGTGTGTATGTGTACTGACCACACAAAGTGACTAGAAGTGTGTATGTGTACTGACCACACGAAGTGACTAGAAGTGTGTATGTGTACTGACCACACAAAGTGACTAGAAGTGTGTATGTGTACTGACCACACGAAGTGACTAGAAGTGTATGTGTACTGACCACACGAAGTGACTAGCAGTGGGTATGTGTACTGACCACACGAAGTGACTAGCAGTGTGTATGTGTACTGACCACACTAAGTGAATAGCAGTGTGTATGTGTACTGACCACACTAAGTGACTAGCAGTGTGTATGTGTACTGACCACACGAAGTGAATAGCAGTGTGTATGTGTACTGACCACATGAAGTGACTAGCAGTGTGTATGTGTACTGACCACACGAAGTGACTAGCAGTGTGTATGTGTACTGACCACACGAAGTGACTAGCAGTGTATGGGTACTGACCACACTAAGTGAATAGCAGTGTGTATGTGTACTGACCACACCAAGTGACTAGAAGTGTGTATGTGTACTGGCCACACTAAGTGACTAGCAGTGTGTATATGTACTGACCACACCAAGTGACTAGCAGTGTGTATGTGTACTGACCACACCAAGTGACTAGCAGTGTGTATGTGTACTGACCACACTAAGTGACTAGCAGTGTGTATATGTACTGACCACACTAAGTGAATAGCAGTGTGTATGTGTACTGACCACACTAAGTGACTAGCAGTGTGTATATGTACTGACCACACTAAGTAACTAGCAGTGTGTATATGTACTGACCACACTAAGTGACTAGAAGTGTGTATGTGTACTGACCACACTAAGTGACTAGCAGTGTGTATATGTACTGACCACACTAAGTGACTAGAAGTGTGTATGTGTACTGACCACACTAAGTGACTAGCAGTGTGTATATGTACTGACCACACTAAGTGACTAGAAGTGTGTATGTGTACTGACCACACCAAGTGAATAGCAGTGTGTATGTGTACTGACCACACGAAGTGACTAGAAGTGTGTATGTGTACTGACCACACGAAGTGACTAGAAGTGTGTATGTGTACTGACCACACGAAGTGACTAGAAGTGTGTATGTGTACTGACCACACTAAGTGACGAGCAGTGTGTATGTGTACTGACCATACAAAGCAAGTACAGTAAACACAGAATACATGTATGTCAGAGTCCAGGACTTGAATGTTACATGTATTACATCAGGGTTAGAAACTAACAGCTTTCATCCACTAGTCCTTATAATGATAACATGTAGCAAAACCCTTAAAAATGGCAAATTTCTACTAGTCCTTATGATACCTTTACCATTGGGCAGTTTGGCAGGGACTATAGGACTAGTGCCAATTTCTAACGCTGTACATGGATGTTGACTGCAGTGTACAAACTCCTCCATAAGTTGCTGACCAGACAGACTCTCCTATAGTACTGGGATACTTCTATCACACGAAAAATACTCCAGTCAGAGCCGACGAGTCCTTATTTCAACCCCTTTAATGCCAAACGCCAGTCAGGGTAACAACAAGTACTATCTTTTAACATCTTTTGGTATGACGTGTCCAGGGATCGAACCCCCCGACCTTGCACTGTCTAGGCAGATGCTCTACCACAGAGGCAGTCCTAGTTACACCACGAGTGACAGAAAGATGGGTGTTCACAGGAAATGCATATGCATGATCATGTACGATTGATATAAGGGTAACGCTTTGTTTCAGGGCATTATCATTTGCAGAAGCCTGAGGTCTTCCATTAACTAATTTGTTATCAAATAAAAATAAATTAATAACAATATCAGTTTTGAAACATTTACTGAATGTCACTGACCCACTTTCACAAATATGGAAACATAATAGAAGAGGTGAGGTGAAATTGGGTTTAACGTCGCGTCCAAGATTATTGCACTTATATAGCGACGTGCATGCACGTGTATGTGTGTGTGTGGCTGCTTGTACTAGTCCGGACTGATGCCGATTTATAGTGCTAGCTCACTGAGATACCATGCCGCAGTTTAACATGAATACCTCACTCAGACACAGTATACTGACTCCGAGCCGACCAGTCCTTGTTTTAGCCCCTTAATGCCGAGCGCCAGACAGGGTAACAACAAGTACAATCTTTTAACGTCTTTTTGTATGACGCGGCCCGGGATCGAACCCTGGACCTTCCGCTCTCCGGGCGGACGCTCTACCACAAGACCACGGAGGCGGTCACATAATAGAAGAAACCAGATGACGTCACTATTGAACGTCAATATGGCGTCTGTTACCAACGGGCGTGACAATGGCCTGTCGTCACATCAAGCAATATGAGGGCATTATCAAGTTACAGTGGCCCCCTCATTTCGTTTAACATGCAGGCGGTTTAATGATAATTTTATCCATTTTAGCTATAATTCATAATAATAGTTTTTACAGTTGAGAATTCTTTATAGTTTAATCTCTGGTGTTACCAAGATTTATTTTCCTAATTACAACACTTCAAGCCTAAAAGTATCAATGCTGGCAATAGTGACGAAACATATATAAGTTGATCAGAAACTCAGTTAAAAATGTAACTAGATTGATGTGATAACACATGAATTTTTTGCACACTACAGATACTACTGGCCACAAGCTATATCAATCTGTGGTTATATGACATCACACTGTTCATGTAATCATGTACCGGGGTTTCATCGCACAGCACAGGTAGATACTAGTGATGGACGATGCATCGCAATGTTTTTACTTCTCAATGCAAGCATCGATCACAGTCGCACTCTAAGTAAAACATATTGTCATACCTTCAATGTTTGCTTAAATAAATGTTACACAAAACACAAATTAGTATTGAAAACATAAATAAGCTTGTAGACTGGATCATAAAATAGCTGAAGCTTACAACGTCCCAAAAACCACTATGCCATACTTGACACTGCCAACTGTAAATCATCAGTGCGCCAGGTATTTGGCAATCCTGTCAGTGAAAAAGATGGCTCATGCACCAAAGATTAGAGCACACGCAAGTATCATGATACATACAGGATCGGGAGCAAGATATGTATCGGATCACACAGTTGGTGTATCATCCCAAGCCTAGTAGATAAGGGCAAATGCCAAACAAACATCTGACCTAACAAGTTTCATCTACGACAAGTGTTTGCGGAATCAAATTTTTGGGAATCAACATGTCAAAGGATTCAATGAGTGCATCAAATAGGTTGACAATAGACTAATACATTAAGAGTTCACATTCATCAGGCTCCTAGATCCTTGAGGTTTACACCTAGCAATTGAAACTAGGACCCCTCAGATTTTATCTGTTAACATAAAGGATATGACATGGACTTCTTGTCTTTCGCGCTTGCTTCAAATACCATTTTCAATACTTCACTTAACATACACATAAAACATATTTCCTTAAATAATGTTGGTATGTGAACATTCATTCTATTAATGTGTATTGTGTGACTGCAAAGTAAACATGGACTTTGATATTGAGCTTCTAAATAGAAGCACAAGGACAAGAAGATCACAAGGATATGGATATCTGCATCCTAATTACATACAAAAACTGCTTATATCATCAGTGTTTTAGGTATAAAGTTATGGGCAGGACCTGCACATATTCAACAAACCTTGATGTTGCGACGAGACCTACCTCAACACATGGGCGGGCCACTAACAACATGCCTATGGCTCATACATATCATTTTTTCTGGTAATGAAACTTTAAACTTTTGGGTGAAATCGTGATAAATCTAAAATATGAGTGATTTTATGGCATGCGATGAACCAATTGTTGATTTTATGAGTGTAAACCCGTCAAAATCCAAAGGGGAGCAAGTAAAATCATGATCGGGCAAGTCTCGGTTTATTTACAGTTGAAATTGATAAGCCCACGAGTAGCGTACATTCCAGAAATCGATACTGGCATTCTGAAGTATCATTGTTTCGTCCTCTCGCTAACAAAGCACGTATACATCACCTGTTAATGCAAGGAAATGAAGCAATTGCACACCCTAATGATTTTACGAATGGTTTCAGAAAATCAAGATGGATGCCGAATTTCAAATGAAGTTCCCATTTCCCGGATAGCAAAAGGTTAAGTTCTCAGTGAAATCAACCTCATTACTTGCGGGGACAATTTTCCCAAATGTTGCAAAAAATTTAAGTAATTTACAAATATTGCAGAGTTTATTTACACATAGATCCAATAAGTTATAATGAATTACCCGTAGAGGAAGATTTACAGTGTTTTGCACACGAACGAAAATATCGACGCGACAACACAAAATGGCTAGGAAAATGGAAATCCCGCCCAGTACGCGCTTCCGGGTCGTAAATGCAGCCAAAGACGAGCGCAATCATAATATTTAACATTCAAAAAAATATTGCAACATGTTTTTCCCACTTAGAACACTTATTACCTGCAGCAAAATCTGGAACAAAAGTAGTTGAAGCGTCGTTATTGACCTGTGTTCTCGCCATTAGCAAGGTACGCGGAAAGGGAGGTAATTTGATTGGTTGGCAAGACTCCGTGACAATTCGGACTGGTACGGAAAGTGCCGAAGTCCGATAACTACCTCGGCGACAATGTAAACAGCCAGTGTCCTCGTTTTCACAATCTAGCACTCCACTTCGGCTCCAGTTCGCGAAACGCTCACTGTCAAGTTCAAATTCAAAACTTCTCTTGTAATATATCACCACCACTTATCATCGAAGTGTAAACGTGTAGATTTTTCAACACATAAATATTTTCATTCATCTGTTTTAATTTCCTTAAACAGTAGACAGTCGAAATATTAATCAGACATTTAAGTTTGGCATATGACTCTTATAGACATGATATGTGAATAACTATAACATCAGTTGAAAGGTTTAGCTTATAATTGTCGTTTCGGAAATGTATTCATGAATAAAACATTGTATGATTTGAATTTTATAGCTGAGTGCAGCATAATTATCATGCATTTAGTTATTATGTCAGGTAGCCAAGTGGTTAAAGCTTCGCACGTCAAGCCGAAGACCCGGTGCGATTCCCGACATAAGTACAATGTGTGAACCCCCTTTCTGGTGCCCCCTGCCGTGATATTGCTGGAATATTGCTAAAAAGCGGTGTAAAACCATACTTACTCATTATGTCATTTAGTCCTACCTACTGTTTGTTGGTTAACGCGGCACTCAGAAATTTAATGTTCCAGCTACCTAACAGCTGTATGTAAATTATCGACTAGGGACCAGAGAAACTTGTGGTTGATACTATGAGCACCGGGTTACGATGACACGCAATCAACCGAGGCAAATTTAGGGTGCTTACAATTTGGGACCAAATTCCATCCCAGAGTTCTCCGCAGGGTATGGCAATTGTGAGAAAGGAACTAACACACACATTTGGCTTTATAGATACGACACAATGTGAATGAAATAGCGTCCCGGGGTATATTCATGTGTCCCGTCGCTAGGAACAATTGCAATCCCCCCCCCCCCCCCCCCCCCCCCCCCCCCCCCCCCCCCAATTGGAAATCCACGCAATTGGAATTAATACTTGACCTTGACATGCATCAACCAAGTCAGCAAGCCTGACCACCCGATCCCGTTAGCATAGTCGCCTTTTACGGGAAGCATGGTTTCCTGAAGTCGTATTGTACCTCGGATATTCACGGGTCTCAAAGCATTGTATTCATGTTTTACATGTGAATACAACATAATTAGGACGAAGCCATTGGTGACGTTTTTCAACAAAAATAAAAATAAAATAATTTTTAAGGTCAGCTTAATGAGCTATACAAATTTATTTGGATTTTTCCAAGATAATATTCCAGCTATATGATGGCGGATTGTAAATAATCGACTCTGTTACAGACACACCAGTGATTGATATCATGAGCATCGATCTACGAAAATGGGATACGATGACATGCATCAAGTCAGCGAACCTGACCAGGCGATCCTGTTACTCGCCTGTTACGACAAGCATGGGTCGCTGAAGATACATTCCGAACTCAATTGGGTTGCCTTTCACGACAAGCATGGGGGTGTTGGGCACACCCCGGATCCCCACGGTGAACAATGCATTTACAAACAATTGAATAACAAACGTAAGTTGTAATAGGTCTTCAGCAACTTATGCTTGCCACAAGAGGCGAATATGCTTGTCGTAAGAGGAGACTAACGGGATCGGGTGGTCAGGCTCGCTGACTTGGTTGATGCATGTCATCGTATCCCAATTGACTAGATCTATGCTCATGATGTCAATCACTGGATTGTCTGGTCCAGACTCTATTATTTACAGAACGCCGTCATATAGAGCTTGAATATTGCTGAGTGCGGCGTTAAACAACAAACAAACCAACAATCAAAATTAATTACTATTTCAACAATGTAGCTACAACGCCGAAAGGATTAATTATGATTATTTTTCAAAACAACTTTACCGCTGGAGATATGTCAACGTCAACAGTGTCATGCATATTATATTATATTGTTTATTCACAAAAAGTGTTAAGCCGTATGCCTATTACACAGAACTATTTACAGAGAGAGGGAGAAAAAAGAATTACCACTATTTTACATATATATCCATATCCATACACATTCATACACATACACATGCATATATACAAATAAATATTAAGACTGCATGCAATGAACGAAGTCGAAAAGCTTTGTAAACGTAGACTGCTAGATTTCGTATGATTTTGAAATTAGTGGATGACATAAGAGCATTAAATTTATTTTAGAAGAGGAATGTATTCAGCTCTTAAATCACTATAAGCATTGCATATAAGCATAAAATGATATTCGTCCTCAATAAAATTCTGGTTACAAATCAAACACAGTCTCTGTTCTCTAATTTCCTTAATATATCGACCGGTCTCAATTCGCAGCCGATGGGAGGAGCATCTCAACTGAGCAAGTGCAGCTCTGAATTTTGAAACATTTACTACATTGATATAGCTTTCTAAGCCAAATGAAATTTTGTAAAGAGAGTAACTTTGGGATTGAGTGCTAGATGAAACAGCTGCATGCCAATCTTGCTCAGATGAGGCTTTTGAACGGTTTACAAATTCCGAAATAAAACTTCTACGATTATTACTAAATTGCATCTCCCAAATGTAGCCAAAACCAAACGAATAAAGAATGTGTTTGATTTTAGAGACCCAGTTGATCTTACCATTATTAACATCATTAACAGTGTCATGCATACCACTATGATTGTGTCCATACTTAATACCCCATGTTTCTTAAAAACAATAACAAAATGTTTCAGGAAGTCATTGTGAAAACATATTACTAGTTTTGTTTTCATAATATGTTAGAGGGGCGGTCGGGTAGCCTAGTGGTTAAAGCGTTCGCTCGTCACGCCGAAGACCCGGGTTCGATTCCCGACATGGGTACAATGTGTGAAGCCCATTTCTGGTGTCCCCCGCCGTGATATTGCTGGAATATTGCTAAAAGCGGCGTAAAACCATACTCACTCACTCATAATATGTTAGGTTTCTACTTCTTTATGACATAAATATCTAAACTGAAATGTGTCATACTCTCATTCCTGATTCTGAAGGTACCACATGCAAATTACAGTTTGTTTTATCTTCTGGGTTACACACGTGCGCCTTATGGCAGTATAGGAACATGCATCAGTATAGGCGGGTATGCTACAAAATGTATTGGCGCCGTGTCACTCCTCTTGATCCAAGTTATCTTGGACATCTAGTTATAGTCTAGCTATTCCATACGCCAAGAAGTAACTGTGTCGGTATAGTCCAAGACAGATAAGTGGCCATTGATGGGTCTGTCCTTAGCTCTCAGCTGCCCTGGTCGACTGCACCATAGCCACGTGCTCTAGGTGGTTGTCGTGGGTGACAAGACTGCTCGGCACGTTTCACCTCGGTTGTGGATTGCTCACGCTTAATCAGCTTCATAGACTTACATCTAGTCTCTGAAATGAACATATCGTACATAAAAAAAAAACAGTTGTTCAGTTATCTTAATAAAAATATAATAAAAAGGAGCCCAGTGACTCTCTTCATTTTCTGATACTGCAGTGATCTAGACTTGCAAAACATTATAGACTTGCATGGGCTGTATTTGATATATATTTTTATTACTTGCCCGTGAAGAGATCACCCGTTTAATAAACATACAGCTGTATTACACATTGTGTAATACCAAAACGCGTGCTTATGTACTCTCGGAACACGTTTCACGAACAAATATTGAAAGCTCTCAACATCCCTTGGCTTATTCAACGACATTGCTTGTGGAGATGATAGATCACTGAGAGGAGCTTATGCACACTGGATGACCCCAGCAACCTTGTTGCTAGGTTGACGTCACATGGCATTGTTTCGCCGAAGGATCTTGCAACAAAATTCCACAAATTACGTCATCGGGTATTGTGACGTGATTGTAAACTTTGAGGCGCAAGGCCCCGTTCCACAAGGCGATCGTACGGTAGCGCGGCGACAGTCGTTGGTCTAAGTTAAAGTATATGAGTTGCGATAACCTTAACGCTACGATAATTTTGTGGAACGGACGCCTGAATTCTAAAGTTGGACCGTTGGATGGTATTAAATTCATACGTTTCAACTTTTGACGTATTTGAAGTATTACTGAAGTATTACTGTGTTAAACTCAGTTGGATTATGCCGTGGATCGTGTAGGTGTCAGCCTATTCACACTCAACAGTATAATTCTAAAAACGTTATAAATGGCCAGTAATAAATAAAATACTAAACTCGCTCCCGTGTAAAACCAATTTTATGAAACTCGTGAATAGTTATGGTATCTGACTCGCTTTCGCTCGTCAGATACCAGAACTATTCACTCGTTTCATAAAATTGGTATTACACGGGAGCTTGTTTAGTATTCTATATGTATCAGTGTCTGTAGGACAGACTATCAGCTTCACTAAATGAAAGATGTATGTCGTTAAAGAGTGCAGTTTGTTATGGCACCTTCGATGTTGTTGTCGGTCCGATGACCGCTGTTGGCAAAGTGGTTCCACTGCACTTTATCCAAGTGAACACTCTCTACCCAACTTGTCGTCATATAGTCCATCAACTTAGTGACTGTTCTCCTTGTGGACTATCGGCAATTGTATCCAGTCTTC